TATAAATTACGGATAATTAAAGGGATCTTTGAGTTTACTCACCTATATGTGGTTGCAGGGTTGATTCACAGCTCCTGGCCCTGCCAGGAGCTGTGAGAGAGCAACACTCCTCACATGTCGAGTGTATAACAAAAGTGCTGAGCGAACGGGCAGCATGCAAGTGTCGAGTGCACGAACGGCCCAGTGCCGAGTGCGCGAACGGCCCAGTGCCGAGTGCGCGAACGACCCAGTGCGCGAACGGCCCAGTGCCCAGTGCACGAACGGCCCAGTGCCCAGTGCGCGAACGGCCCAGTGCCCAGTGCGCGAACGGCCCAGTGCCCAGTGCGCGAACGGCCCAGTGCCCAGTGCGCGGAACGGCCCAGTGCGCGAACGGCCCAGTGCGCGAACGGCCCAGTGCGCGAACGGCCCAGTGCCCAGTGCGCGAACGGCCCAGTGCCCAGTGCGCGAACGGCCCAGTGCCCAGTGCGCGAACGGCCCAGTGCGCGAACGGCCCAGTGCGCGAACGGCCCAGTGCCCAGTGCGCGAACGGCCCAGTGCGCGACGGCCCAGTGCGCGAACGGCCCAGTGCGCGAACGGCCCAGTGCGCGAACGGCCCAGTGCGCGAACGGCCCAGTGCGCGAACGGCCCAGTGCGCGAACGGCCCAGTGCGCGAACGGCCCAGTGCGCGAACGGCCCAGTGCGCGAACGGCGCAGTGCGCAACGGCGCAGTGCCCAGTGCGCGAACGGCGCAGTGCCCAGTGCGCGAACGGCGCAGTGCCCAGTGCGCGAACGCGCAGTGCCCAGTGCGCGAACGGCGCAGTGCCCAGTGCGCGAACGGCGCAGTGCGCGAACGGCGCAGTGCGCGAACGGTGCAGTGCGCGAACGGCGCAGTGCCCAGTGCGCGAACGGCGCAGTGCCCAGTGCGCGAACGGCGCAGTGCCCAGTGCGCGAACGGCGCAGTGCCCATGGCGCGAACGGCGCAGTGCCCAGTGCGCGAACGGCGCAGTGCCCAGTGCGCGAACGGCGCAGTGCCCAGTGCGCGAACGGCGCAGTGCCCAGTGCGCGAACGGCGCAGTGCCCAGTGCGCGAACGGCGCAGTGCCAGTGCGCGAACGGCGCAGTGCCCAGTGCGCGAACGGCGCAGTGCCCAGTGCGCGAACGGCGCAGTGCCCAGTGCGCGAACGGCGCAGTGCCCAGTGCGCGAATGGCGCAGTGCCCCAGTGCGCGAACGGCGCAGTGCCCAGTGCGCAAACGGCGCAGTGCCCAGTGTGCGAACGGCGCAGTGCCCAGTGCGCGAACGGCGCAGTGCCCACAGTGCACGAACGGCGCAGTGCCCAGTGTGCGAACGGCGCAGTGCCCAGTGTGAGAACGGCACAGTGTCGAGTGTGCGAACGGCACAGTGTCGAGTGTGCGAACAGCGCAGTGTAGTGTGTGCGAACAGCACAGTAGTGTGTGCGAACAGCAGTGTCGAGTGTGTGAACAGCACAGTGTCGAGTGTGCGAACAGCACAGTGTTGAGTGGGTCAGCAATGCAGTGTTGAGTGGGTGAACAACAGTGTTGAGTGTGTGAACAGCACAGTGTTGAGTGGGTCAGCAATGCAGTGTTGAGTGGGTGAACAACACAGTGTTGAGTGGGTGAACAACACAGTGTTGAGTGGGTGAACAACACAGTGTTGAGTGGGTGAACAACACAGTGTTGAGTGGGTGAACAACACAGTGTTGAGTGGGTGAACAACACAGTGTTGAGTGGGTGAACAACACAGTGTTGAGTGGGTGAACAGCACAGTGCTGAGTGTGTGAACAGCACAGTGTTGAGTGTGTGAACAGCACAGTCCCAATATGACTCAGTTTTTAGCAAGCCGCTAACCAGACTGAGAGTCGAAGATCAAAATGAATTTTTTATGAGAGAGCCACAAAATTTGATTAACACAAGCCTATCCGATGTTATCCTGACGCCAAATGACTTCGAACAGGCGATAAATGAATGCCCATGCACTCTGCCCCAGGGCCAGACTCATGGAACTCTGTGTTTCAAGAACTGCAAGAACCCCTACACGACCTTTTCATCCTATGGGGAGGGAGCATGGACCGGGTCGTCCCTCAGTTACTAAAAACAGACATAGCCCACCCACAAAGGGGCAGTAAAGCAACAGCAAAGAACTACAGACCAATAGCACTAACATCCCAATCATAAAATCTTTGAAGGGTCCTAAGAAGCAAGATCACCACCCATCAGAAACCCATCATTACACAACCCAGGAAACATGGGTTTAGAACAGGTCGCTCCTGTTGTCTCAATACTGATCACAACACAAGGTCCTAAATGCACTAAAGACAAAAAGAATGCAGATGTAATAATACAGACTTCAAAAGCCTTCGACAAGTGTGACCATGCGTAATAGCGCACAAAATGCGCGCTAAAGGAAAACAGGAAAAGTTGGTCGATGGATCTTAATTTCCTCACTAACGAACACAAGAGTATCGTCAACAGAGTAAAGTCCGAGGCAGCTACGGTGAAAAGCTCTGTTCCAAAATGCACAGTACTAGCTCCATCTTGTTCCTCATCCTCATATCCGACATAGACAAGGATGTCAGCCACAGCACGTGTCTTCCTTTGCAGATGACACCCGAATCTGCATGACAGTGTCTTCCATTGCAGACACTGCAAGGCCCCAGGCGGACATAAACCAAATCTTTCAGTGGGCTGCAGAAAACAATATGAAGTTCAAGATGAGAATTTTCAATTACTCAGATATGGAAACATGAGGAAATTAAATCTTCATCAGAGTACAAAACAATTTGGCCAAAAATAGAGCGAAACACCAACGTCAAAGACCTGGGAGTGATTATGTCGGAGATCTCACCTTCAAGGACCATAACATTGTATCAATCGCATCTGCTAGAAAAATGACAGGATGGATAATGAGAACCTTCAAAACTAGGGAGCCAAGCCCATGATGACACTCTTCAGGTCACTTGTTTATCATAGGCTGGAATATTGCTGCACTCTAACAGCACCTTTCAAGCAGGTGAAATTGCCGACCTAGAAAATGTACAGAGAACTTTCACGGCGCGCATAAACGGAGATAAAACACCTCAATTACTGGGAGCGCTTGAGGTTTCTAAACTGTATTCCTGGAACGCAGGAGGGAGAGTACATGCTTATAACACCTGGAAAATCCTGAGGACTAGTACCAACTTGCCACGAAAATCACTCACTACGAAAGCAAAAAGACTTGGCAGACGATGAACCATCCCCAATGAAAAGCAGGGGTGTCACTAGCACTTTAAGAGACCATACCAATAAGTGTCAGGGGACCGAGACTGTTCAACTGCCTCCCAGCACACATAAGGGGGATTACCAACGGACCCTGGCAGTCTTCAAGCTGGCACTGGACAAGCACCTAAAGTCAGTTCCTGATCAGCCGGGCTGTGGCTCGTACGTTGGTTTGCGTGCAGCCAGCAGCAACAGCCTGGTTGATCAGGCGCTGATCCACCAGGAGGCCTGGTCACAGACCGGGCCGCGGGGGCGTTGACCCCCGAAACTCTCTCCAGGTAAACTCCAGTGCTGAGAGGGTCAGCAATGCAGTGTTGAGTGTGTGAACAACAGTGTTGAGTGTGTGAACAGCACAGTGTTGAGTGGGTCAACAACAGTGTTGAGTGGGTCAACAACACAGTGTTGAGTGGGCCAGCAACACAGTGTTGAGTGGGCCAGCAACACAGTGTTGAGTGGGCCAGCAACACAGTGTTGAGTGGGTCAGCAACACAGTGTTGAGTGGGTTCAGCAACACAGTGTTGAGTGGGTCAGCAACACAGTGTTGAGTGGGTCAGCAACACAGTGTTGAGTGGGTCAGCAACACAGTGTTGAGTGGGTCAGCAACACAGTGTTGAGTGGGTCAGCAACAGTGTTGAGTGGGTCAGCAACACAGTGTTGAGTGGGCCAGCAACACAGTGTTGAGTGGGTCAGCAACAGTGTTGAGTGGGCCAGCAACATAGTGTTGAGTGGGCCAGCAACATAGTGTTGAGTGGGCCAGCAACACAGTGTTGAGTGGGTCAGCAACACAAGTGTTGAGTGGACCAGCAACACAGTGTTGAGTGGGTCAGCAACACAGTGTTGAGTGGGCCAGCAACACAGTGTTGAGTGGGTCAGCAACACAGTGTTGAGTGGGTCAGCAACACAGTGTTGAGTGGGTCAGCAACACAGTGTTGAGTGGACCAGCAACACAGTGTTGAGTGGGTCAGCAACACAGTGTTGAGTGGGCCAGCAACACAGTGTTGAGTGGGCCAGCAACATAGTGTTGAGTGGGCCAGCAACACAGTGTTGAGTGGGCCAGCAAAAGTGTTGAGTGGGCCAGCAACACAGTGTTGAGTGGGTCAGCAACACTGTTGAGTGGGTCAGCAACAGTGTTGAGTGGGTCAGCAACACTGTTGAGTGGGTCAGCAACACTGTTGACTGGGTCAGCAACACAGTGTTGAGTGGGTCAGCAACACAGTGTTGAGTGGGTCAGCAACACAGTGTTGAGTGGGCCAGCAACACAGTGTTGAGTGGGCCAGCAACACAGTGTTGAGTGGGCCAGCAACACAGTGTTGAGTGGGCCAGCAACACAGTGTTGAGTGGGCCAGCAACACAGTGTTGAGTGGGTCAGCAACACAGTGTTGAGTGGGCCAGCAACACAGTGTTGAGTGGGTCAGCAACACAGTGTTGAGTGGGTCAGCAACACAGTGTTGAGTGGGTCAGCAACACAGTGTTGATGGGCCAGCAACACAGTTGTTGAGTGGGTCAGCAACACAGTGTTGAGTGGGTCAGCAACACAGTGTTGAGTGGGGTCAGCAACACAGTGTTGAGTGGGTCAGCAACACAGTGTTGAGTGGGTCAGCAACACAGTGTTGAGTGGGCCAGCAACACAGTGTTGAGTGGGTGGTCATGCCGGGACGCGGGGGTAATAACATTAATCATAACACTCTCCTCCAGTACATATAACTAGCTCTAACTTAGAGTTAACAACTTGAAGATAAAGTTTACCTTAGTTAAGAGAATATATTAGTGTTGTGTGGCTGGTAAAGAGGCAGAGTAGCAGTGAGCATCAGCCTCACCCTCACTAACACTCAGTAATGGCCGCCGTCTCCACCAACCAACAAACCATCCCTTCTAAATACTAATCGATTTCAATTTCCCTCCTTGTTAAAACGTAGCCTCTCCCAAAAATTAATTAAATAAAACACACAATTAATATATCAATGTAATCTCTACTCTCTATCATTCTTATTAAATCTTCAAGGACCCCAATAGAAATAAGTCACTTTGTCTGACTTTTTGGGATTATCCTGGGTAATCTACATATATGTTACTATATGTGATAATTTATGTAACTATTAAAGTGTTCATGTACCTGAATAAACTTACAGTTCAATAATTTTCCAGTGTTCCAGCGAAGCCGAAGCCGTTTTCCACAGAACCAGACAATAAACCTCTGTTATAATTCTTTTCTGAGTATTATTAATATTCTTCAACAGTTATATTATATTACATGACAAATATGTCTTCACTCAGCACTACAGAAATTCATCGTTGCTGTCACCGCTGTAATATTTCTTTTAGGCAGGAAGGTTGATATTGATTAATAGAACCGGACGGTGTATGTTCGTTTGTACCACGCACGCTGGCGCACCACCACGCGTGCTGGCGCACCACCACGCATGCTAGTGCACCACCACGCATGCTGGCGCACCACCACGCATGCTGGCGCACCACCACGCACGCTGGGGGCACCACCACGCACGCTGGCGCACCACCACGCGTGCTGGCGCACCACCACGCATGCTGGCGCACCACCACGCGTGCTGGCGCAACCACCACGCATGCTAGTGCACCACCACGCATGCTAGTGCACCACCACGCATGCTGGCGCACCACCACGCATGCTGGCGCACCACCACGCATGCTGACGCACCACCACGCACGCTGGCGCACCACCACGCGTGCTGGCGCACCACCACGCATGCTGGCGCACCACCACGCATGCTGGCGCACCACCACGCATGCTGGCGCACCACCACGCATGCTGACGCACCACCACGCATGCTGGCGCACCACCACGCATGCTGGCGCACCACCACGCATGCTAGCGCACCACCACGCGTGCTGGCGCACCACCACGCATGCTGACGCACCACCACGCACGCTAGCGCACCACCCCGCATGCTAGCGCACCACCACGCATGCTGGCGCACCACCACGCATGCTGACGCACCACCACGCACGCTAGCGCACCACCACGCATGCTGGCGCACCACCACGCATGCTGGTGCACCACCACGCACGCTAGCGCACCACCACGCATGCTGGCGCACCACCACGCATGCTGGCGCACCACCACGCACGCTAGCGCACCACCACGCATGCTGGCGCACCACCACGCATGCGGTGCACCACCACGCACGCTAGCGCACCACCACGCATGCTGGCGCACCACCAACGCATGCTGGCGCACCACCACGCATGCTGGCGCACCACCACGCATGCTGGCGCACCAACCACGCATGCTGGCGCACCACCACGCATGCTGGGGCACCACCACGCACGCTAGCGCACCACCACGCATGCTGGCGCACCACCACGCATGCTGGTGCACCACCACGCACGCTAGCGCACCACCACGCATGCTGGCGCACCACCACGCATGCTGGCGCACCACCACGCATGCTGGCGCACCACCACGCATGCTGGCGCACCACCACGCATGCTGGCGCACCACCATGCATGCTGGCGCACCACCACGCATGCTGGCGCACCACCCCGCATGCTGGCGCACCACCACGCATGCTAGAAATTTAGAAATTTTAGCACACATACAGAGGTACAAAAAAATACAGGTAAGAGCAGCATGCCAAAGCCACTTACACGCATAGCATTACGGGCTGGCTTAAAATTAACTTAAGATTAACTAAGCCAAGATGAAATCAGTGATAAAACATTATTGTAAACAGATAACTATAAAGCACAAGTGAGTATTACAAAGACAGGTCATATGGTTGCTTGCATTGCTGTACATTCAGTTGAATGGAGTATTCTGTTAGGTAGTGTATTTAAAAAAAATAATAAATTTAGAGTGGGTCCTAGGTTTAACATTTGTGTGATATAATTGTGAGAAACATTTAAGATATACAATTTATAAGGTTCAGTATTCAGTATTTATTTGGTTTTGGGTGAGTAAGTGATCTTTGAGAAGAGACTTGAATTTATAAAACAGGTAAGTGTTTCTTTTATATTTACAGGTAATGAATTCGATTTTAGGGCCTTTTATGTGCATTGAGTTTTTGCAATAGTGGTGAGATGGACACGAGGAACATCAAAGAGTGATCTGTGCCTTGCGTTATGGTCATGTGTTCTGTTGAGGTTGGCAAGGAGATGTTTGAGGGGAGGGTTAATATCAGAGTTAAGTGTTCTATGTATGTAATAGGTGCAGTAATAAGTTGTTTAATATGTTTATTATGCACCCCATACCCATCCTGTGGGCGGTAGTCAAAAGATTACAGAGGTACATAATTGGTCCAGGGACTGGACTCCAAAGTTTTGATAGCTGAGCAAGTTACAGAGGTAATGAACTCACAATTTACAAAGGTAATGAACTCACAATTTACAAAGGTAATGAACTCACAATTTACAAAGGTAATGAACTCACAATTTACAAAGGTAATGAACTCACAATTTACAAAGGTAATGAACTCCAGGTAAGTCTGGTCACAATCATGACAAGTTACAAAGGTATTTACAGATTACAGAGGTACGTAATGGGTCCAGGGACTGGGCCCCCAAAGTTTTGATAGCTGAACTAGGTACAAAGGTAATGAGCTCACAAGTTACAAAGGTAATGAATTCTGTAGAATGGTTACTTACGTTTATACTTTGGCTACAATCATGAACAAATTATAGAGTAATGAGCAATTCACACTTCCACACCCGGTCACAACTGTAATGAGTTATTGGTGCAAATATTGATTGTTGAGTCACACACACCACACACACACACACACACACACACACACACACACACACACACACACACACACACACACACACACACACACCCTCACACACACCCACACACACACACACACACACACACACACATGCACACATGCATTGTTGAGTCACACACACCACACACACACACACACACACACACACATGCACACATGCACACATGTGGTAATGCTTTATTTACAGCTAGCAAAGTCAGGGTATTTCTCCAGAATGGTCTGCAATATACCACTGTGGATAAAATACTTAGCCATTTCTTGAACACTTCTGAGTGAGTTGTTTCTAAATTCATTAATTTTATCACACTCCAGTACATAATGACGCAATGTGTGACAATAGTCCATCTGGCAAAGTTTACATTTCGTTTGGTCTACATCTGGTGGTGGTGATTTAACCTGCCAAAGATACTTGTAACCCAGCCGGAGCCGGGCAGTAGTGACATCCAAGAGTCTGCTTATCTTGTTGGATGCACCATAGACATGTGGCTCCTCCTGCATGATGGAATGATGATAGATGGACTGACTTGTGTCAATCTCCCTAAGTCTTAAGTCAATAAAGTTCATTTGAAGTTCTTTTCGTATTATTGTTCTCAAACTGCTAAATGACAACCCAAGATTGTAATCTACCCCCTCTTTGAAAGCATACAGCTTAGCCAATTTATCAGTTCTATCATGCATCTGAAGACCAATGTGAGATGGAATCCACAGCATGTGCACTCTGACTCCACTGTCCACAATCTTACCATATCTATGTCTGGCTTCTGACAAAAGCATGCCACAATTTATACTTAATGAGTTGAGAGCATTTATGGATGACAGAGAATCAGTTACAATTAAAGTGTCAACCTTAGATACATGGACACATTTGAGTGCAAGGAGTATGGCAAACAGTTCTGTTTGAAGGGTAGAGGCCCAGTTATTGATGCGTGCTCCAATTTCTTTATGAGAGCCATCACTCTGTGTGACAACAGCAGCACTACCAGCTGCACCAGTGGACTGGTGAACAGAACCATCGACGTAAATAATTTGTGAAAGATTGTTCTGTGTGACTAAGTTATCAATACAGCTTAAGGCATCATGTCTGGCTTCAAGACGAAGCTTTGGTTGTGATTTAAGAAGAGTTTTGGGGGGAAAAATGGGGGGAAGGGTTTATTTTGGAATGGGGTAATACCCCATGGACGGGGGAAAGTCTCTATTGAAAATTGATATAGATCATGTAGCTTTTTATGCGGGGGTGGGTTTCCAGTTTTTTCGACCACGGGAAAGGAGTTCACCAGTGCTGGGGGAAGTTTGGGGGGTTCTTGCAGGGGGTTGAAGGGGCTAGCCTAACATATTGACCCCAAAAGGATATTTCTTTCAGTAACACGATCTTAATGCTAAAATTTTAAAGTTCTTTCCGATTTTTAAAAATTTTTGGCAGTACGAGGGATCCTGGGATGCCCTCATGTTCGTTTTGCAGTTTTCCAGCCCCCCAAAAGCTTCCAGTCAGACACGAGTGCAAGAGTGGCGTGCATAATAAACCCAATGATCAAATATAAGCAAATATCATTTTCACAATTTTAATTTTTGCACCAAAACCCGGGTTAAAAACCCCCACAACTCTAAGTGCTTACCCTTTTTTTGTATTGGCAAAAAAGTCTCGTTACAACGGTCCAAGTAGTGGAACTCAAACCCTAGAACCTGTTCTGCTTACTTTCTAAAAGAGCCCCATCATGCAACGGATCGAGAATTGCCTCTCTCCCGAGGAGGCCCCTGTTGGTATCTTTGTTTTATCCCTGAGATTATTAACCCCAGGCCCTGACACGGGCTTTAAAACATGATTAAGAATGTTTTGGGTTTTGGAGACCCGGTAGTGGGTCATTATTCTCAGCAAAACTAACCATAAAATGATGGGGTGGCTAGGCATGGCTTTAAAAGTAAGGCATTAATCAAAATGTTGAAAAGGGGGGGGACAAGCAACCCCCTGTAAAAAGTAAGTATGGATGTTTTGTTGGTGAGTGGTTGAGTGTTTAGAATATTGGGGAGTGTGTTGCCTGTGTGGAATTTGTTATCATTCTAACTGCACCCTTTTGTTGGGAAATTTTTTTTTTATTTTATTTAAAAACAATACAGTTT